CCCCCAGCGCTGTAAAGAGCCCACCCCCAAGCGCAGTCCAAAGCTCTCCGGTGCCCCCTGGTGATGTCTGCAGTCCCTGAATAACCTCCCAAAGCCTCCCAATATTGTACAGAACCTCACAGTGCAAATCCATTGCCCCCAAGCATTATTTGGAGTCTCCATCAGTACCATTTGCAGCCCCTCATTAACCTGCCCCCAGTGCTACCTAAAGATGCCCACATCCTTCCGAGCGTCTTCCAGCACTGCAGAGCCTTTCCCACGCCCCAAACGCTCCCCGAAGCTCTGCAGTGCCCCCTCGTGCTGTCTGCAGCCTTCAATAACATTCCAGCGCTCTCCCAGGATCCCTCAGGTCTGTCTGAACCTTCGTAGTGCAATCCCAGCACCCCCAGTACTGTCAGTATCTCCTCATCGCCCTTCCAGTGCTCTCTAGTTCTATCCAGAACATCCTAGTATGCTCCCAGTGTAATCCCAGTACTGCCTACAGCTTCTCTGTGCCTCCCGGTATCCTCCAAGGCTGTCTAGAACCTTGTAATACAAATTCAATCCCTTCCACTATTGTTTAGATCCCCCACCAGGGCTTTCTAGCTCCCCAATGGTCCCTAATCCTGTCTACAGCTCCTCAGTAACAGCCTGCTGTCCCCCAGGGCTCTTCCAGTGGCCCCCCATTACAGTTTAGAGCCGCCAGGGTCCTCCTAGCATTCTCCCAGTGCTGTCTAGAACCTTTAGTACAAACCTCGTGCCACTGAGTACCATCTGGAGTTCCACCAGTGCTGCCTGTAGCCCCTCAATAACCTCCCAGTGTCCCCCAGTTCTGCTTAGAGACCCCAAATCTGCTCTCGTGAAACCCAAACCTGCCTGGAGTCTCCCAGCGCTGCCTGCAGCACATCAGCAGCCTCCTGCAGCAATGGGTAGAGCTGGTGGTGATGGAGCTTGGCACAGACTGAACAGGGATGGGAGACCTCTCAGGCACTTGAGGAAGGCTCCTGGGGGACCCAGAGCTCTGCAGGTGCATTTGGGCGCCCAAGAGCATACAAGGGTGGCTCTGGGAGGCCTCTGGGGCACTTTGGAGGACATAGAGGAGCTCTTGGGTGCCTCTGAGTGCACAGTGGGGCACTGGGTGGCCCCTTGGGCAGCAGGAGAGGCCTCTCAGGTTCCCTGCCAAACTCTGCTGCTACTCTCAGATACCTGATAGCACACAAGCAGCCTTGGGAGGCCACTCAGACACACATGGAAGCATCTCAGGCACCCTGGAGTACGCTGAGAAAACTCGGATGGTACTCCTGCATGCCCTTGAGGCCACCTAGGGTCCCTCAGAGGGCTCACTCTTGTGCTCCAGGGCACCCCAGAGGCCTCCCCGTACCCCAGCCTGTACTCTTGAGTGCCAAGGGTACCTGCAGTGCTCAAATGCGTGCTCCATGGTGACCCAGAGGCTTCCCCAGGTGCTCTGGAGGTCTCGCAGGGCACCCTGGTGTACTATTAGGTGTCCAAGAGAACTTGCAGAGCTCAGCGTACTGCAGGATCTTCCCAGTTTGCTCCAAGGGTCTTTGCAGCTCCCTACAGGACGTGCTCTTCTGGGGTGGAAGGTCTTAAGCTGCATGAACACTGGTTTTACCCACCACAAAATGCAAAACAGTGCAAATTAACCTTGCCTACTGAAAAACTTGCTGGGTCAGACAGCATCACACATGTTCTTCTACATACCTACTTGGAAGGTAGATATGAAACAGCTCCAGGTCACAACAGCTTTGGTTTTGAAAATCCTGTGCTACTTCTACTTCCTTTCTTCTGCTTTTAGCTGCTAATTCTGTATCAATTCTAAGCTCAGATTAGACCTATATTTGGCCTTATATGCACATAGAGCAGTTAATGGCAGGCTTGCAGCCTAATGAGCTGTGAGCTGGATCTCAGTGCTGCCAGCATAAGGCATTACCTGGATTAATGGGCTGACAACACAGCTATTCCTGTGCTCTTCTGCAGCAGCACAGCCCCACTGACCTCAACGCCCTTCTGTGATTTCTGGCTGCTCTGTTCCTCAGTGCATTAAGGTCAGTTAATCAATTAAGATTTATTTCTTCTTCCTGACCTCAGGTTCTATACACTTCTGTTGATTTCCCCCCCCCACAGCGTTGCTCTGTCGCAGGTTCAGAGTCCCTGGCACTGAATTCCTGAAGGAGACATTTCTTCCTTCCAACTCAGAATCTTGAGGAAAAAATAGTGATAGAACAAAACCAAGTGGAAGTTCCACAGATGTGCGTTGACCAAACAGCAGTGCTTCAGGCTGCATCTATTGCTGTGATAAGCTGTGACACCATACAGCTGACCAGCAAACCTGAACTACGCCATTTCACTGCATGGGTGCTGATGCCTAAGCCCAATAACCACACCTCACTGCTAAGAGTCAGGAACCCACACCAACCCAAGTGCTTTATTAGCAGGTGACTGCTGCGTGGTGCTGCTCATTAAATGCTAACCCAACACTGTTCCACACCATGGATGGGTGACCTTCACCGTGAAGTGGGTAGAAGTTGGCCAAACCCCACCTCCACCCATGCCCAGTGCCACCTCCATCACATCTCATGCACACGACCCAACTGCTATCACTGGAGGCTGCGCTGCTGCTCTTCCAGTCAGCCCCATCACCCCCATTCCATTACCTGCGCGTAGTTTCCACTGAAGGCTGTTTCTCTCCTCCACCACCATCGTGATGAGGGTTCAAATAGAATGGCTGAGGATATGGCAGTGATACAGGAAATCACACTGTCGGCATCTTCACTATCACCTTCCCAGGAACCATATTTCTGCTGCCTTCCTCCCTCCTCCTCACCCACATTACAGCAACCTGAGGGCCCAGATTCTTGCCTGCTGAAGGCACCAGCCCAGATGTGCAGTTACACAGACACGTACCCTCAAGACACAGATGCACCCAGTGAAACAACAACATTTTGTCTTTATTAGGAGTTCCCATGGTAATATAACACAGAGTTCTTCAGGAATAAAACACAAGACTTGGGGTTGGGTGTTTTTTTGTTGGTTTTTTTTTTTTTTTTTTTTTTTTTTTTTTTTGCCATTGAGACAATGGTCAAATATCAGTACTTCTTTTTGTCTACACACATGATCAGCTTTAGCACTTACAGCTCCTCCACTCATGGTTCACAATCACAAATCCAAGGGTTAAATCCAGCTAGTATTAAATCCTACTGTTTTTGTTTTAATTATTATTATTATTTTTAGAGCTTCAAGTCACTGCGGTTAATTAATTATGTTTTTTTTTCCTTTAAGCATTTACATATGACATTCAATAAACAGACACAAAGCAGACGAGCTCTCACAGGAAAAAACATGCTTACACAGCCTGCAAAAAATCTTTTTTTTTTTTTTTGTGATTTTCTTGCTTTTTTTTTTCCTTTACTCTTTCGAAGAACAAATTGAAATCCAAAAGTCATCATGAGTCAATGAAGGAAAATAAAAGGAAGACTTAAGTGAATACTGAAGAGCCGCGTGTTTTGTAGAATTGACACGGATCCCAATTTCTTTCTTTCTCTCCCCAACTCGTTCAGATTGGTTTTAACATACAGGTGAAAGACAGCTGCAATATATATTATGCTCACAGATTACTTCACAAAGTGCAAACTCTTATGCAAAACTAACCACCCAAGGGTTAAACCTAGATGCAAAAGGCATGGATGAGTATGGCAATGTCTTAGCTTTGATGTTCAAGGGGGCCTATGGGAATTGTGCTGGGAGGGGCAGGGTACCTACACTGCTCCCAGATCCTTTGACAATCCCAGCGTTGCTACTGCATCACAACAAATTTGGTAGTTGCTTCTTAAAAGCCTTCTCATATTCAGTTTTTCATTACAAGAAACCATTCAAGAAAATGCTCACAAATAGGGAAAATGAGGTCCATGCACATGGTTGAAGGACAAACAGAAGATAAAGCAGAAGACATAGCCAAGCACCAGGGCTACAGACAGTGGAGGTAATGCTTTGTTAACTGTGGGTAGAAAAGCTCTCTGTGCTCAGAGACAGCCCAAGCCCTTGGGACCATCAAGCCCTCCAGCAAAGCGTAAGTGGGGCTCTAACAGTGCAGCTTTATGCTCCACGTCCTGAAAACCTGAAAACATGAGCCTCCAATACTAGCGCTAAAAGACCTCTCAGTCCTGGGTTTAAATGATCCTGTGATCAACGCTTAGTTGGAGGAGCACTCCTACCTTCTGGTTTCTCAAACCTGAGGCACATACCCAAGCAGGGCCGGGGGCTTCTCAGGAATATTTGCACCAAAGCAGATCCCTGAAGGAATGACAGACTGTGAAATTCACACATGGATGAGAGATTCTCAGCTGCTGTTGACCCACTGAGCTGCTTGGAGGCTCCCAGTTACAACAGCTGGGCATCTGGACGCTAGTTGGAATTGCCACAGATGCTCAGGCATGCACACAACAGAGCAGCCTTCCAACAAGAGCTAAAGATAAGCTCTCAGAGTTTTAAATAACCACTCATTAATGGCCAGGAAAGGGGATGTGGCTGCTACAGAAATCTTTCAGGCAAAGTACTGCCTGTTGCCTATGGCCCTCTGCTTACTGACTGCTACCTGTAAACCAACTGCTAAGAGCTCCTCCAGAGGCTCTGCCCAGCTCTGCAGCCCCAGTGTTTGCACCAGCTCAAGAGCCAGTATGCTGAAGTGAAGATCATAGCTTACGAACCTGCACTGCTGCCTCCTACTGCAGCTAAGTGGGAAGAACGGGCTGGAATGATGCATCCTAGGAGCACCCAAAGTACCAAAGGGGCAGTGACACTGGTGGGGGTCAATAACTCGAATGAGGCTCGGGAAGGAGCAGGGAGAACTGGGAGATGCCCAGTTCTGAGATAAGGCTTCGTAAACACGATAAGACAAACATATTAAAAACACACACAGACATTTAAAATTTAAAAAAAAAAAAAAAAAAAAAAAAAAGGAAAAAAACCCCAAAAAAACCAAATTTGCCCCAAAAATCGGAAAGAAAAAAAAAAAAAAAAAGGAAAAAAAAAAACAACCCCAACAGAACAAAAGTCTCCAACAGCTCTAGCTCACCCGATGGCGGGGTGCCATGTGCTCTGTCAGCTCCTAGTGCTGGGTCCTGGTTCTCTTTCTTGGCAGCAAACAGCTATTCTGTGGCCTCAGAGGTGGTGGTGGGGAATGGTGCCAGACTGGGATTCGTGGCCCTCCGTGCTCTCCTAGCTATGCTGCTGGAACACAGAACCCTAAAGAACATCCAGTTTATAACCCTTGAACTACTCTTCTGCTTGACATTGGGGAAAAAAAAAAAAAAAAAGCTATTTTTTTTACATTTAAAATTTATTTATTCTTTTTTCTTTTCATCTGTGTCTTAAAGGCAGCTCCGGGGAAATTCACTTTATCCTTCCTTTATTAAAAGAAAGATGCTGAATGGGACATAGGCCACATATCTCAAACATCCTCTTCACATTTACTTTTGCATGTCAGAGGTGTCAAAACAGGGTTGGTTGTTTTCTCTTTAAACGTGTAGGGGCTGACAGGGAAGTGAGAGGGGTTGGTGAAGATGAGGAGGGAATCTGAGGGGACCGAAAGAGGTGCGTTACTTCAGCCCCCCCCATTGCCCGCAGTAACCATCACAGGCTCTAAAAGAATCAAAAAGGGTCTCCAGGTGCCCCCATCCCCTCCCCTGGTCCGCTGGACGGGCGGAAGGGGTCGGTCCTTAACCCAAGCTGGTGATGTTGGCACGTCCGCCCGGCGGTGCCACGATGCGCTGGGTGGTGCGGCGTGGGATGTTGTCGTCAATCTGTGCGCCTGTGGGAGACAGGAGGGACGTCGGGTTCACCACGGAGACTGTGTGAGATGCAGGGGGTCTGGAACAGGTCGTCCCGTCCCTGCAGACCCCCATGGATGGGGCTGCTCTGAGCACCCGATCGAGCTGTGGGTGTTGGCTGCAGAGGAGCTGGACCACACAGCCTTCCTTCCAACTCAAACCATTCTATGAGCAAAGTGCATCGGTTTCCAGTGCCTTAATTCTGCTGAAATCTGCTCTGCATTGACACCACCACTCTGAACACAGGCACCCAGCCCTATGCAGAACTTATGCAGATGAGAACTGGCTAAATGCTTCTCCCTTCGGAAGCCCCTCACTGTCTCCAACTTTCCTTGTTGCTGAGCCTCTTGCCCTGTAATGCTCAGCTTCTTTTCTTAGTCTACTTGTCCTGACCCTGTTGAGGCACTTGTGTCCTGTCCAAACTATTCCACCCCCAGTGCATGGAGAAATCCACCTGCTGCATGCCAGACCCACAGCTGCTCTCAGCTGGCAACTGGCACTGGTGCAATCACACAGCCAGCTGAGCACTGAGCTACAGGGAATGCAGCGTTTAAGAAAATAAACAGGGCTCTATGAGAGCTCCTCTACAAGAATACGTACCAGACAAGCTAAAGCCAGACTGGTGCAGGTTCCTCACGGGTGGGGCTTGCTGTTTGGCAGGAGATGTTTTAGCTGAAGATGCAGGAGTGACCGTCTTCGGCGTCACCGACACTTCGCAGACCGGCCCATCATAGAGGCCTCGAGGCACACCCCGCAGCTCGGCCAGCTGCAACACACAGCAGCAGGGAGCTTTAGGGTCAGACAGCCTTCAGCACGGCCCTAAACAGCTGGCCAGATGTTGCTAAGCCAAAGATGCATATTTCAAGATTCATCTCTACTAAGAGGATTTGAAAGCAAACAGGACCTTCCTTTCCTTTCCACTCTATTCCCCTTTTCCCTTCATTTTCTCCTTCCTTTCCCCTTTCCTTTTCCCCTTCCTTTTATGACCTCAGCCAACCTGCTATTGTATTAAATGCTCCTGGCCACTCTAAGGAGCTTATTGCTCCTACCCCAGGAGAGCCATGCTGCTACAGAGCAGAGCTGCACAGACAGAAGCCAGGCCAGCTTCACTTCTTCAGCTTCGGAGCTTTACATTGGGTTAAACATAATTATTCCAGCCGAGATACTGCCCAATTGGATTTGGATTTGTAGGTCAAACACACATTTCTGCAGGAGGGCAGAACACAACAGAAACTACAGTTCTCTTCTCCCCAGTGCTGAATTATCTGTGCTTGTAATTCTTGTAACTTGTAATTCATCCAACAAGTAATTAAGGAAAAATCTGCAAGGGATGAGCAGACTGCCTATGGTCAGCAAACCCAAACAGCTCTGGTTTTGTCCAGGAGAGGGCAATACCTCAGGCTCTGAAACATCTCGGAAACCTGACTTCATCTGGAAATAAACTTCTCAAATCCCCTGCAGTTCATTTGCAACTGATTTTAGCACCAGCTTTTCACCAGCTAAAGGCATATCAGGAGCAGTCTGTTTCGAATGGGTGTATTTTAGCCTCTTAAAAATAGAAATGTTCCCACTTTTAAGCAGTCGTGGGCTGTGCCTGTGACTCACCAGTCACCAGACAAGAGCATCTGACTGTACCTGACAGAAGGGAAAGGAGCATCTGTAGCAACAAATCAGAATGCTGAACTGTTGCTGGAAGGTTTGATGCATAATTGCCATCAATATCAGTACGTTCTGTCGGTAATCTGCAGATGGACTCAAATCCAATCCAGACAGCTCTCACTGCCCAGGGGTCTCTAAGGTAGCAAAGAATTACAGAGCAAAAGGAACAAAATTTGCAGAAAAGCCAATCTGAAGTCAAAGTAGTGACTCAAGCGAACAGCAGAAATGAAAGGGGAATGAGCTACACATGGCTTCTATGCAGGCAACGTTTCCTCTTGCAAAGTGCACCCACTGAGCCAGGGACAGCCTCTGCTTTTCACCCACTTCCACTGGGGAGCTCCAGGGGGCAGCTGCTTGCACTCACCCTGCTCCTCGCTTTGATCCGCTTGTAAACAAAGTCGGGGAACGGCTTCCTGGGGATGTACCGCCCAGAGCCCTCCGTTACGTGGAGATTCCCATCCTCCAGCACGATCTTCCCCTGGCTGATAACCACCAGGGGAGACCCACGGCACTCCATGCCTTCGAAGATGTTGTACTCCAGAGACTGGAACAGAGAGGCAGCGTGAGGCAAACATTCACGCCAGCAAAGCCCAGCAATCAACGGCCATGCTAACTCCTAAGGCCTGGAAGCAAACCCAACAGCACGTGCCTCAGCTGTACACACAGTGCCTCAACAGAATTTGTTTTAAATGAGGATACTTTCAAGCATACCTGGTCGAGATGGACGTCAGCACGTGCCTTCTCTGCACTGCATGAGATTTAAGAGCCAAATTAAGTTTTACCTGAGTTTCATATTAAAAGTGATGGTTATTTTCAAAGACTGTACTTGGAACCAGAGTTTTGGTTGATGGGTCAGAGACCAGGACAATCTTTTTACTCTAATGGGATTGCTCATCCTCAATTAATAGGATTTGAAACGTTACACCATGGAAAAAAAGAGGAGTTTTAAAGGAATCGCTGGTAGATGTCCCACCCAAGAAGGGTCCTGGAAGGAGATACACTACAACCAGGCTATTTGGGGACTCTTACTCAGGCAACCAGCTCTGAAAGGAATCCAAGTCTTCTTCTCTGAGTTAATGATGGAGTTGAACCTTGAAGTGTGTTATAAGTATGGGTAGGCCTGACTGCAGATTTACAATTAGCTAGAATGGTGGTTAAACCGACAGCAAACCAGTTCCAGTATGAAAAAAGTTGTGGTGGCAAAGGAGGAGGCTTGGTTAGAAACTTATGAGTTAGGCTGTTCCAAGAACAACACCATCTCCCCTTCCAGCTCCTGACGTTTCCTTGCCAGACAGTGGCAACAGCAGTGTGAATTCTTGGAAAATGTTTGCATGTTGCTCTAGCATTAAAAAATGTAACAATCATCCGATGCCACATAATCAGTATGTCTCCTTGTGTCGTGGCAACAGCTCTGCCTGACTTTCAAAGGGCTTTTGTTTTATCCTTGTGATTTAAATAGGATGCCTTGACTCTATGGGCATCACTCCTCTACATTTCTTCTTTCACAGTGTGTGAGATGCTCTGCAGGAGTCACAGTGGGGATCTGCAGTCTTCAGCCCACAAACCATTTCTGAGGAGCGGCCTCGAGATCATACAATCATGGAATCATTAAGGTTGGAAAAGACCATGAAGATCATCTGTCTGGTGGTCCTTCAGCCGAGCCCAGACATATGGCAAAACAAGGAGGTGATGAGCAGTGGTTCCTGATTGTGCTGGAGAACATCTGCAAAAGATACCTGAACTTTGTGTTACGAAACGTTGAAGGCTCCACTTCCTAAAAACAACACCCATTAAAATGCAGTGGCTGTCAAATATTCAATCCAGGAAGCTCCTTCCAGCTCTCAGAGCTCATCAGCTCCCATATGCACAGACTCAGGTTTACACCACTGAATCCAGCACTCTGTACGTGAGCAAGTCTTCTCTCTTCAGACTGAATGTGATGAGTCTGGAAGAACCTCAAAAGCAACCAAACTCCTGAGTCTGGACGCCTGTGTTAGACATTACGCACAGGTAAAATGAATCCAGGCCATCTGTGCCCAATTCTGACACTGAGTTAAGTCACAGGAAAGCAAATCAACCTTTAAAAAAAAAAAAAAAGGTTTCTTTGTGAATGTGCCCAGGGATCCAAGTGTGGAAGAAAATTTTGCTCCTTCAGCTCCGGAGTGAATGAAAGCATTCATGGAAAAAAGAACAAGGAGTTTTTTTCCAGGGAAACATTCCATAGGTTCATCGCCAGCAGTGAAACAAGTTGTCAACAAATGCAAACAGGGGTTGCTTTCTCTGCGACAGAGCACAAATGTCACAGGGAGACTCCAACCAGTGCTCTGTGTGGGGACAGTGCTGCCATTCCGTGCAGGCTGGGATGGTTCTTGCACTGCAGGAGCCAGGTGTGAGGTCTGGGATGCTGCTGTGGGCCACAAAGCTCCAACAGTGCCACCATAAAGAGACAAGGGAAGCGCTGCTTAGTTTGGGAGCTGCCCTGTGCTTCTGTGCCATCCTGGGTTGGGATGAGCATCAGGAAAATCACGCCTGACTCCACACATGCTTCCCCTATGGCTTCACTCAGCTAATGGTCCCTGCCATGGGTTATTCTCAACTTCCCTCATCCTCATGGATATTCACCAACTTCAGGGGCTCCACCGCACCACTAACCCTGCTTCTCCACGCTCCCGAGGTGCAGGACATCTGCATCAAAGCCTGAATGCTGCCAGAAGCCTGCAGCAATCAGGGACAGATTGGTGCTCACTGTAAATCCACTCAGACTCACTGACCTGGATCACACCTCCAGAAAAGGTGTCTGGGAGCTGATGTGCTTCACTGGGAAAGGCACAGTCCTCAACCCCAGTGCTGCTGAGCCAAAAGGTCATCAGTGACACATTGTGATGAGCTGTGTTTTAAAAGATTCAAAGAGCCAGATCCACACGTCCAACACTCAGAAGCTCTTTGCTTTGAAAGGAATATCTGTGTGTTCATGTGATTTCAGCTTTGGACTCACACAGCTGAGCTGTACTGGATGTAAGACCACAAAGGGCTTGGGGCAAAGGTTTAAAGAAAAATAAATTAAGTAAAAAAGCCCTCAGTTGTCACAGGCTCTGGTTCCTATCAGCACCGTCTGAAGAAGAGAGAACAAAACATGCAGGAGAAATCACATCATGGAAAACATCCTTACTATGTTGTGGGTCTTGGCAGAGATTGTCTTGACGCTGTCCGGATCCCAGATAACCAAATCAGCATCAGAGCCCACGGCGATGCGGCCCTTCCGTGGGTACAGGTTAAAGATTTTAGCTGCATTTGTGCTGGTCACAGCCACAAACTGGTTCTCATCCATCTTGCCAGTCACCTGCGGAGAGATGGAAGCATTAGCCTGGATGGCAGCACTGTGGAAACCAGCCCCAGGGCTGGCAGGAGCTCCTTCTCCAGCCAAAATACAGCCAGTCCATGACGTGTGACATACCACAGCCTTGTCCCAGATGATGGACATCCTCTCCTCCGTCCCGTTGGTTCCCTCGGGGATCAGGGTGAAGTTGTCCTTCCCAACAGCTTTCTGAGCAGTGTTGAAGGTGCAGTGGGCACTGCCAGTGACTTGGAGGTCTCCGCTGGAAAAAGGTAATGGCAGATGGGTTTTGTGTTGTCACAGCCTTTTGCTAGCTGGCAACAACCACTATTATTTTTATTAATCGCTCGTCTCATGATGAGACACATCTTGTAATGAACACAAAGAGCTCTACTTACCAGGACAGCAGGGAGTTGAGGAAATCAGGAGTGGTTGGGTCAGGACTCAGTGGTGGGGAAGTGACAAAAGCGGCCGCCTTCGCCCAATTCTTGCTCCAATAATGAGATCCATCAGTACCCAAGCTGGCTGTGATGGGCTCCCCGTACACCACAGTGCCTACAAGACAGGAATACAGGCAAATCCACTGTAATTGCTGATCAATGTGCATCTCTAACCTGGCTTCCAGGAGCAAAGCCTCCGTCTGGAAATGAATGTTTCCAAGCCTTTACACTTCTGAGTTAATAATAAAGATATTGCTACAGATAAAAGCACGGAGCAGCAAAAGAGGCCTGTGATATTTTTATAAACATACATGCAATAAAGATCTAACAAGGCTGGGTTTATCACAGCAGGCTCTGCGCACAGATCAGCTAAGAGAAAACTCGTGTTAGAAGAGCTTACTGCCTAAAGAGAAAGCACATCACCAAGAGGAAGCATCAGTGCTTCTGGTTCCTGAATGCAGCTCAAGAAAACTGATTCCCCCAATGGTTCAGGGTAAATCCGTGGCAGAACCAGGAAATGAAATCAGATCTTCTGACTCACTGTCCAGTGCATTAACCACCAGTGCACCCCTCCTCCTCATTAACATTTCTGGAAGCACATGAAGGAAGACCTGATCCGTAAGGCCACGATTCTTTGCACGTTGGAACACAGCAGCACATCTGCACACCAAGCAGATGCAAAGCACTGCAACTTCAAAAGCAGCACGGGCTGCAGCCCCATGGGTCTGCTCACCAAATGAAACCCTCCCCAAACCCCTGCAAAGTGCCTGTCCATCTGGCTTCTGAGTCCAGACACCCCATGCATTCGCAACAGCCTGCAAAGGATGGGGCAAAGTCAGAACCAAGGCAACCCACGAATGGGTCAGCAGGCTCTTGCACAGCTCACCATGCAGAGCACAGAAATACGGCCTTCCACCATACTGTCCATATCTCTGAATGGGAAAGAGTGTATCAGCTGAGGCTGAACAAATGTACAAAGTGCCTTCGTGCTGCTTCCAGACCCCAGTGACACCAGAGGAATAGGATCAGTGTGATCAGAGGGGATCCACCAGCAAAGGAAGGGGCTGCCTGACATCGCCTGCCCCAAATAGGGTTATGAAACCAGAACAAGGCAAAAAACACACGCTGCCTATTAATGGGAGGCCTGTTGTGGGCCAGGACATTGGGAGGATTGTTCTGCAGAGAATGAGCTCCAAGATCTGCCAGCGATGGAGTCTGCGGGGAATCTCCTCCATACAAATGCCACTGGGAGCATCTGGCTTTAAATAACAGCCGTTCTTTTCCATCTAGCCAATCAATTCTGTTCTGTTTTTGCTTTGGATAGTCCTCAACTAAGTTTCCTCTGTTGCTTGGGAGGGCAAGGATGATGTGTGTGGCCCTCCTGGGCTATCCAGCTGGGTAATTGTACAGCATTTAAATTGAATTATTTGAATAAAGGAGCAGAGAATGGCGTGCCATTTATACCCCTAATTCTCCTTATAAGGAGAAAATGTAATCCGAAGTCGGCTTCCCTGGCCTATAGGATTAAGTTGCACAGACACATCAAGTTGTTTTTTGGGGTAATGCAACATGCAGCCACTTTACCATGTCAACACATCTTCTCATTTCAGTGTGATCTCCACTATAATGGAGCTAGGGAAGGAAAGTTCATCCAAAACAGCCTGAACTACTTCCACATCATGAACAGAGAGAGGTGCCTTGGAGATCAGTCCCCTTACCAGCTCTGAACTCTCTGAACAGGTATCGTGGGATCAAAACACTCCTGAGCTAATACACACACACACACACATACACACACAAGTCTGTTTGCTGCAGTAGGAAATCAGCTCTTCGAGCACCAAGCACCCAGATGGAAAGTGATGTCATCTGTGTATCTGTTCAGGCTTACTGAGACTGCATACAATTAAACACAACCCCTCCAAGGAAAGGAGGGGAACCATCATCCCTCATGCTTACTCAACCACCCAGAACAACTTTAAATAGAAAAGAAGAGTTTCGTTACAGAAGAAGGGAGACAGGCGCTCACTGCACTCTGCAGCCTTTGCTTCTTGGGGGCAAGGCAGCATGGGCAGGACGTGGAGGAGCTCCTGCACCACTGAGAGCAGTACAGCTCCCTCATGCACCTCACCATGAGAAGCAGCACTCAAGGTCTGGGTCCTTCCTGCAGCATCCTTAGAGGCATCAGGAGCTCCCAGCCAACCCTAAACTACCAATCCCAATTCCTGCTTGGATGCCAGGCTGTGAGCACCAGGAGCATCTATTTCACAAGCAAAGATCTGGTAACTACATCAGCTACTCCAACCACCTCCAAGAGGGCCCATGAGTCACAGAGCTCCATCAGGACTCTTGGAATCGCTTCTGACCCCAGAAGCAGCTCAGCAGTAAGCAGTAAGGGAAGAGCACAGGAGCTGGAGAGAGGACACAGCTTGCTGTCTCCATGGAGATTTGTCAAGCAGGGAATTACTCTGTGATAACATGAAGGCACATGGCTCAGTGTAGTGGGATGCGTGCGAGGAGGCTGAGCAGAAAAAACAGCTTCTGGCACTGATAACGATCCCTGAATACTTCTCTGCAGGAGATGAGACAGAAGCAGTTGCTTGGGACCTTTTGAACGACAGCCTGGATAGTAACACTGGAAAAAGAAACTCCTCCTGTAGGGGTGAAGCTTATGTTGGCAAGGATTTGCACGGAATGAGCTAATAGGTTGCTCCCATCCAAGGGCAATAACTTACCCTTTTTCCTGGCTTGAGCAATGACTTCAGCAGCGCTTTTGCTCATCACCTTGGTGATATAGAGAGGGCAGTTGGTTTGGTTGGCGATGGTGATTGCCCGGTTCACAGCTTCTGCCTCCACCTGAGAAACAAAGTCAGCAAATCAGCAACATCCCTGCATGACAGCATAACCCATCCTCCTTGTAGGGGAAATCATGGTGTGCAGGCGTGAGGTGAGCTCCCACCTCTCCAAATCTGAGCCGGAAAAATGTACCATGTAATCAGGATAATTAAGATGGCATCAAGCTACACTCCCCTCTCATTACTCCCTTTCCTCCCAGGCTGCTTCTGAATCTCTCTACAAGCAGGCTAAGTCCTAAAGCAACCCCCCAGGTGCTTGGGGTCAGTATGGTTAAGCCTCTCCTTTAACCTAAGCAAAAATAAGCAACTAAATGTTAGCTCAGCAGAACTATTCGTGTTCCAGCCCACACGGAAGAGAGATGCTGTAGCCACATATTCTGGTAAGCCACGTTTGCAAGCAAGCCTTCTAAATTGTACCCTCCACTACGATATCTGGCTTGGGATCTGACAGAGTGTGAACCACCCCATAAATCAACTACTTTGATACCCATAAGGAAAGCCTGAGCAAGGCTGAGGCACTACATGCTAGCTGCTCTTAGAACGAATGCAATCAGGAGTTTCCCAAGTCACATATCCTAATCAAAGCAGTCCAGCTGACAAACTTAATGAGAGGAATTCTCATAGTGCCTACTACTATGAAGAGCTGCAATGCCATGGACATCTTCCATGCCAACAAAGGAAAACCCAGCAACCAGGCACCTGATTTCCAAAAGGAACCTGCCCAGGGCTGGCACACACTCAGCACTCTGGAGATCTGCTCTGCAGTGCTTTGTCCCAGGTCATACTCAGCCAAACCCCATCAGCCCCAGAAGCAGAACGCAGCAGCTGCTGGGCCATGCACTGAAAGGAGCACCTGAAATAAAGGAGCTGGCAGCTGAATTTGGCACAAGGATGCCCAACCAGCTCCCCAAACCCAGCAGAGCTACAGGGGTACTGCCCAGGCCTGTCACCACTCCAGGGCTGGTGACAACCTTCCCTAGAAAGTGCTGCTGCCAGAACAGGGACATTTCTGGCCCAAAAAAGACAGGCTGAAAGGAAGGCTGTTTTCTCTTCAAGGTTCCACAGTCAGCAGCAGGAAAAGGGAGGCTGAAAGAAAGAGCAAAGAAAAGCCTGACTGTCCATCCTGAGAAGCAAAGAGCAACGTCAGATGGGCTGATGTTCCCAATGGCATCAGTTTGCAGGCACACGCACTGCTCCTCTGCTGCAGCACTCACATTTCCACCCCATGCTTCGGTTTCCTCACTTGCAAACAGGGATAAAACAACGCCCAGCTCCGCAGCTCTGACCAAAACGCCTCCAAGCAGCTGCTGAGCAGGAAGAGGATCATTTCTGCCCAAAAGAAAACGAGGCTGCTGAATTCCTGCCTTGTGCCCAGATGCTATGGTGACAGGCACATAACAATAACCCAGCGACTAGTCCAAAGGGGAATGTTTGCAATTACCAGCATGCATCAGAAGCCCTAACACAGCAGTTCTCCTGAAAAAAAGAAAAAAGAAGACAGACATTTCCTGGAGCGCTTGGATCGCTCGGGCTTTCAGCGTTCTTGTGGCTGAAACAGAAACAGCAGAAAAGTGACGGATGGCTCTGAGAAGTCATCACAGAATGATCCACTCTGTGAGGCTGGGAGCTACGGAGAGTGATGGGTGATGCTGCCTTGGAACGGGGGTGGCTTTGTGAAGGATGGGACCGAAGGCTGGCTGTGACACCAGAGCCAGCAGCAAAATGCGAGGCTCCATTCGTGCTTCCTGCCCAACCTGCAGGCTCACAGGGGGTGCAGGACGTGGCCTCCATCAGCCAACGTAAACAGCGCTGCGTGGTTTGAAAAACACAACAGGGAAAAAGGAGGGGAGGGAACCAGATGACATTGTTTCCTGCTCTGCTTCCTATGACTTTAAAGGAGGAGAACGTGGGCTGAGAGCTTCCACCCTGCGCAGACGGCACAGCTGAGCTCAGAGCTGCCCAGCTGCTGGGCCATGTGTCCTGGGGCAGCCCTCCTCACCCCACCACCACCAACACATTCCTGCAAAGTGCAGAAGACAGATGGAGCACCAAACCCGAGCCAGGGGCACACACGGTTCATGCTTTGAAGCTCCTGCTCTGCTAATGATGGTCTTCGAAGCAGCCAGACGAGGCTGGGCTAATTTGATGATAGGAGCAGCCTTTCATAAGTCCACAGCAGTTATGGGGTGCTCCACAGATGAGCCTTTAAGTGTCAAGTCAGCATCTGTTCCTGCTCTCCTGATGCAAGGCAAGAAAAATGTCCCATTGAAAAAAATGCAGGAGTGGGTGGAAGGCTCGGTGTGTGAGCTCACAACTTCCAGGAAGCAAGAATCCCAGCTCCTGAGGCCAAGCAGCTCTGCAAGGGCTCAGCCCAAGCTGAGAGCGTTCCCTTCACTCTGCCTGCAGCAGCTGAATGATTTACGTTCCTACTGAAATGCTGCTGGATGCTGCTTGTCTGAACCAAGGGAGGAAACTGAGGGAGTGTGAGGGCACGTGCAGATGATCTCACACATCCAGCTTCCAGCAGGACCACATCTGGCGGGCAGCACAGCCCTGTTATCTTGGGGGAAGAGAGATAACTTATGGTGTGTAAGTACACAGATGGACATCCCAACCCTCGAATGCCGTGGTAAGGTACTGAGCTCAGAGATACTGAAAGAAGGGAAATGAAGAACTGAAAGGGCAACTTGTGAGTTCTTTTCTGCTCTTCACATTCTTTCAAGGACTTAGAGAGAGTGAGATAAATGGGAGTAGGGTGCTCAACCCCAGAGAAGATGAGGGGTTAGGTGTGCTGAAGTGCTTGCCTAGGACCTGAAACTCAGCTCCCCTCTCTGGTACACATTTTCTGTGCCTTCAGTACATCATTTGGGTCCCTCGTGGTAAAAAAAAAAAAAAAATCCACCATCTGTACAAAATTCATCTAACAATCAAATACAACAGAAGATACAAGTGTCTAAAACAATGTCACTCTGCTTTAGGTACCTCATGTGAAAGCACCTTCACAGACCCTCTCCAATAACCTACAGAAAGAGATGAGCATTTCCAGAGGGTGAATTAAACCTTAGGGTGGAAGAATTGTTCCCTGAAAGCACTCCTCTCCCCAGCAGAAAAGCTGAGGGGGGTTCCTCAATTTCTCGTAAGTACCCACTGTAGCTAACTGTAAGTACCCACAGCAGTCAGAAGGGAGCAGTTACTGGTCATTTAGTAGGAGTTAGTCCCTAGAAGAGTCCTTGCCTCCTCCCTTATCCCATACAGCAATACTACTTATAGCCAGGATGAAATCTTGCTTCTGGCCACATCCATCCCAACGGAGCTTCCCAACGGTAAAGGCATCCTCACCTCTTCAGGTCTGCTCAACACGTGCCCTTCAGGGCCTGTGATTCCCAGCTCCAGGATCCTTTGCTGCTCCTAAGGCAGATTAAAAAGAAGAGCAGAAAAAACAAGATTTAAAGCAACGTGCATTATTGCAGCAAACACAGCTGTTTGAAAGAGGTACAAGCGAGATCCTGAGCATCTGTCCTAGTTGGTGGTCACATGGGGCTTTGCATGAGGGCCTTAGAACCAGAGTTCTATCCAATATGCACTGCTGAGAATAACCAGAGCTCTACAACAGCCCAGCTGATTCGCTCACAGGAGCTCGGGGAAGCCTTGTATATTAATTTGCCTCACAATGGGCTCACAGTCCCCTCAGCTTTCACTGCTCATTCACGTCTATGAAATGGTCCCTCTACGACTCAAAAAACAGCATCTCATGGAAACATCATCCAGCAACGGCAGGCAGTTGGGCTCAAGGACTCACGTGGTCTTCTCCCCACCGAGACAATGCAGAAATCCTTTGCAATGCCACATGGAGAGGCACAACGGCACAAGGTGTAAAACGAGCTGCAGATCAGATTACATCCAATTAGCAATGCCCTCTTTGTGGCTATTTCAAGGATTCCAAGCGTCAGCATCTCAGGTACTACATGAAGTTGTTTTCTTTCTCTACGTTACTGCACAGCATTTTTCTGCATGCAGCAGCAGTCATAGCCAGCACAATCTTTCAGTTATGGCCAGAAAGGCAGAGATGGCCAACAGCTGCCCCAGAAACCTGACTTATCCCTGACAATGAAGGGAATGACATTCAATGCACAGCTGCGTTGTGCTTTTAAGTGGCTCAGAGATATCCTGGTTGCAAAGAAGGATGTTGAGTTTAAACCTCTCCCAGCAGTTTGAAGCTGATAATCCACAGAATAAACAGAACATACCTCAGCAATGATGTCACCATTCTCAGCATGCACTTGAGCTGTGGCACCAATATCCCGGATAACGCTCAGGACCTCATAGATCTGAAAGAGGGAGAATACACACAACAGTACACACCAGGTCTGTGGTCTGCAGCTGTACATTCGAATAGCATACAGAATTTGTCAGAATGGAGGACAGAGGAGCGTGATTTCCCACTCTGCAACGAGTTTGAGAGGGCTCAGGTTGACCAACCCACAACTGATGCCTGCTCTGTTAACGGCCGCTCATTAAAATGCTCACCAGAGTCATTAGAGGTAACTGTCATCCACCACTGCCTCCCACACGGTTCCAAATGACTCCCAGGCATTCCTCTCCTCCCACCACATTTAGAAATAAACTATCCAGCTCGACAATTAGCTGTGCTCAGATGGATCCACTGGAAGGGCAAACAGGAGGGCAGTTCCTTTCTGAGGTCCCAGTGGTTCCAACACAACAGCCCCAAACCCACTTTCCGGACTAAGATGTGTTTGTAAACTGAAACTCATGCCAGGGATCTCACTGTCCTGCCCTGTATTGATGCAGAAAGCAGCAATTTATAAAACTGCCACTGCTTCCACACGAAAGGAGTTGGGATAAACCCTCTGTTCCCTCAAAATGAGTTTTACCATTGCTGTCCCTTAGCCAAGACTTGAAAGAATTCTTCGAGGCAGAGCTCTGGGTACTGTTACAAACCTCAGGTACTGTTACACATACAAAAAGACAGAAACCAGAAGAATGCTAGATCCAAATACAGTGAATATAAACCCTGATAGAGACAGATGCGCTGATCCTTCCTACCTGGGAGTCAGACAGCTGGAAGCGGTCTTTGAAAGCCATGTAAACCAGGAAGGAATTCACACCTAGAAAGAGAGCGAAGGAACTGTCCTCAGCATACAGACTGCAGGCACAGATAAGGCTCAGGACAGAAAGAAGACATCCCACTCCATCAGCCCCTTATCAAGCAGTAATCATAGACACATAAATTACTTTAACCTGCTGTGAAATGCATGCACGCGATACATATGCTCTCATAGCAAATTGGTGTGAAGGCAGTGAAACTACAAGCAAGATGGAAAATGACTCAAGCCTGAGGATGCAATGTCATGGAAATCACAGAGGGGAAAAGCCTGTGAGGTTGCTTAATTCAGCTCTTCTGCCCCTGATTCTTCCTTCATTTCACATCTGAAGTGATCACCCACCTGCACTCACGACACAAAGCATTTGATTTTCAAGTTCAAGCTGATGGGTTTCACTGAACAAAGGTGCTCCTCTGCACGGCAGCAGCCAAAGGCTGCTGTACATCAGTGCTCCCCACATCAGTGGGACAAGACAACAACAGGGCCTGATGTCGCGAGGATGTAAGGATAAAGTACATCTGAAAAGCCAGTCTTCAAACATAGGAAGCAATTCTGAAGAACAAGGAGGGGAAAGGCTTCCCTCAGCTTTCTCTAACCGCACGTACCGTGATCTTTAACCAGAGCTTCCATCTCCTCCTGGACGCCTTTGTGCCACTCGGTGATGTCCACGTGCAGGGAGTAATCACAGCAGGATTTGCTGTCTGCCCATTCTCGCCACTGGTCAAATGCAGTCAGCAAACTGGTCCCCGGCTCAGGAACCACATGATCAACTGGGAAAGACAACAAGAACACCATTAAGCTGCTGCAAAACCAAGCCATCACTTTTACCCTTAGGATACGAGCTGGTTTTTGCTCCACATCCCAAACAAGAGGCAGTGCAAAGTGAAGAACAAGGAGGACCAACAGCCTGTCCTGAACGCAGACACAGCCCTGCTGCCCACGCCATCCCTTCAGTCTGATTTCAGCCCAACACACTGGGTCTAACAGCACCCAGGCTCGTAGGCAGCTACGGAATATTCCACCAGTCCTACAGAACCTCCTCAAATGGTAACTGAAGGGATTTGGTAATGATGTCTCCACTTTCTGAGGTGTGTAAAGGCTGTACAAAGGCAAGAGGCTAACCCAAACCAACCCTATTTCCTGCAACGTTACCTACTCCCTCTCTGCCTTTCACATGACAGCTAGCAAACAGCTGTTCAAATATTTGCTTTTTTCCCAAAGGCCATGCCTGCCCCTCAAAGCACTGCTCTGGTTTGCAAAGGGAAGGATGTGACATGCAGCTCTTTGTCCATGTGCCACTGGCACAGCTGCACCACTGGGGGCTGAAGGGTTCAGGAACAGGAGGGCTCTATCTGCTCGTGAGGACAGGCTTCTGCCCGTTAAAGAAATCTGTGCTATGGGTGAAAGCTCTGACATTTGCTTGGCATCAGCTCACGGATGTCGTTTTCATCACCTCTGGGAAAACGAAGCCAAACTCAGCTGACAAACAGTCCTGCTGTTGGAAAAACCATCTGATTTCTCCTCCACCAGCTCCTCCTCTCCAATGGTCAGAACCCTTCCATGAGCTTCCAGACTGAATTGTTTCCTGGCCACTCTGCAGCCCATTGTCACTCTGCCAAAGTTAATCTTCAGCTTAAACAGTATGAACAACAAGGAGAAAAATAACATTCCCTCTGCATTACCAAAGGGACATGGAGAAAACCCAGGTTTGCAGACATGGCCCAGTCTTAACACAAGAGCTGTCTTCCTCAGCCTGCTAATTAATTAAAAAGCCAAAACAATCCCATTTAATCTCAATGGCACCGCAGTCATAAATCCATCTCTGCTCAGACGAAAGGTGCTGTAAAAGTGCATTCAGCCCCCAGACAACACGTGGCCTATGGACATTAGGGATTTCTGCCTGAGGGCAGCAAGGGGTTAACACTATGGTCTCTGCAGCCCAACACAGAGGCCCTAGGACTGACTCTGGTGCTCAGGATCAGAGCTTTATCATCGTCCCATTTCATGCACTGCCCAAGTATGACTAATGGGAGTCAGTGCAGGGAGGTGGGGAAAGGGACCTCTACCAGATCTCTGACAAAGCCAGACTACAGCTGGTTATAGTAAGGATAAGGGATGGAGGTAATGGGGCACACGGTGGGATTTGGGATGTGTCACATAGAAGCTGCACCACCACCACATCCTGCAGCAGCTCCCTGGGGCTCACTGCAGCCATACAACCCATCATCCCCATCCACACAGAATGCCTTGCTTCCATCACAGCTCTCTGCCAGGCAAACACTACCAGTGACCCACTTGGTTACATCCACATTGAAGGACCCAGCAAGAGGCAGGCTCAGGTGTGCAAGGTAACCGCCAGCCTCCCCAAAACTGGGATCAAACAGCTCCAAAGAGATTTGGGGAAGCAGCACAGAGCTGCTCTGCAGCCACATCTGACCTGCAGCACGGGGGAAAAAGCTGCATTCATAGAGTCATAAAGGCTGGGAAACCACAAAGATCACTGAGTCCAACCATCACCCATCCGTGCTGCTGCAGAGGCAGCAGATGCTGCACAGAAGGCACAAGAAACACGGATGTAAGGCCCAAGTTCCAGGCTAGAGCAAATTCAGGCATGCACATGGCTTCTCAGTTTTATCACCTCTCATTACTACACTGCAAGATCACGTCCCACATTCCTCCATGCTAGGGCTTGGGGGGCTTAGTTTTTGTTTGGTTGTGTTTTAGTTAAACCATAATAGCTAGAGACCAAACAAGCAAGAATGAGCCCAGGTCCCTTCAAGGAGAAGAGTTAAGACTGATTCTTTGCCTGCTGCTAAATCAACCAATTATTGCAGCTACTTCTGCTTACTGGGCACGGGTAGGGATTGCCCTCACACATCTCAGAGCTCCTTCCAGCCCTCGGGCAGAGCTCAGACTGCAACAAAAAGCTTTTTCTTTACGGTCCCCACACAGGGAGCGGCACAGAGCAGCAGATGAAAGCTCCATCTGCCCCGTTCCCACAGCCCTGAGCTTCCTGAGATGACCCCCGGGCAGCAGCACGGATGTGAGGTCTCCTGACCCAGCAGAGCACACAGCCGTGGGGGTTTGCCATGTGAAAAGCAGAGTGCTTGGCCCTCAGTGAGCGCTGCTCCCCAGGGAACCCCCAGCTCACTGCTGTGCCTGCAGGACGCGTTCAAGGCAAGCTGTTGCAACACACTGCAGTCACCCCTTTGCTCTCCAGACCACTGCAGCCTTCATCTCGCCTCGCTTCCAAACCCAGATGTTTTCTTCCTGCTGTACAAATGATGTCAGCTGCTGAGCACTGAGGAGGAAGCTGCCAACTCACTTCGAGCTCAAAGCATGCACCAAAAAAAGAAACAGAAGGAAGAAGAAAAGGCAGAAAAGGAAAGATCGTTTCAGTATCACTTCACTAACGCCGAAACCTCGAGGAGGAATTACAGAGCTGTGGTCCTCAGAGCAGCTCCCTGCACGACACTGAACTTCAGCTCCAATCCTCTTTGCTTCTCAGTGGCAAAGCTGGGGTTTGGATTGCAGTGGTTTCCCAGCTGAGAGCAGAAAACATTCTGTAGACCCTTGTGAGACACAGAATCCAAACTGCGAGAGGCTGTAAAGCAAGCTGGTCTGCATCAGGAAAGCAACTGCTCCACAGGAAGAAAAACAAAAAGATGATGTATTTTACAAATCATCTCATTTTTCTCCTGATAAGAAACTGATGGGATTCCAGCATTACTGGACAGTTTGTCTTTTTCTCAGACGAAGCAAAAGTTCACCACCCTTTGTAACGCAGTGGGATTCGAGCACCTGTGCACCCACATGCCATCATCAAACAGCCCTTAATTACCCCTTTGATGTGCTGGTTTTGCTCTCCCCCCATAACACTGCTTATGAGGTGCATCTGTACTTACGTCCAACTATTTGGGCTCCCACCCACTCACCACCCATGGCCGCTCTCTGCCCCTCTCCTGATCCTTTGCTCCCCTCCTCAGGCAGATTAATCAGCTCAAGATGAAAAGCAGACAATAAGCCAAAGTGAGACAACAGCACCAACAACTGCAAGCTTATGTGTGTGGCTTCCACGTCCCAGGGCTGGCGTTCAGCCACATGAAACACTGTGCATCCTACCATCCCATAACGCTGGACGCTGCAGCAAAGAGTTAACACTCAGAATTAAGTCGAAAGGGAAGGAGGAAACTTAAAGGCACCAATTTAAAGGAAACTTTGAGTCGCAGAATGGTTCGAGTTGGAAAGGACCCTTAAAGGCCATCTGTCCCAACTCCCTGTAGTGCACAGGGACCCACAGGTGCTCAGAGCTCCATCCAGGCTGACCTCGGGTGTCCCCAGGCACGGGGCATCCACCATCTCTTGGGGCACGTTGGTTTCCTCTTCCCATTGGAGCTTTCCCAAAGCAGGGGGCTGCCCAGCTCTCCCCCAGCAGCACCCAGTTGGAGAACAGAAGTAACAGGCAGATGTGATCACCAACAGCCTACAGGATGCTCTGGGACGGACGGACGAACATCACTTCAAAGAGCTCTGGGGCACCTGAAGATCTCAAAAAAATGCAGGTTAGGAACCCAGCTTAAGAGAAACGGCTGCTTTTCTGGACCTCAGTGGCACAGCTGAATCCAGCCCTGCACTGGAAACAGAACGTTATTTGCTAGATGGATGCCCTGATGGGTGGGGATTAATGGGTTTTATGGCTTCCTGGTATTGTGGCATGTTCAGATTTTTTTCTTTTCTTTACATCCTGCCTCATTTGAGCAGGGCTTGGCTCACTGGCTGCTCTTCCTGGAGTTTCTATTAATAGTTTTTTGCTTCCAGCTTTGCCCTCTAAAGCCTTTTTTCAACCCCTTCAATTATGTGACATCTAAAGCACGCACAAAACTCTTCCTCTGTCTTCAGCTAATGAATGCCACTACCAGGAAACAGAAAAACTGTTTTATATGGACAACAGAAAACTGAATTAGGCCAAAAAAATTGGGTATGTCATACAACCACGTGTGCAGGGCTCCATTCACTGTTGTACACATTATTTCAGGCAATGAGCACAGAATGCACCTATTGTGCAAGAGTTTAAGGTGTAAATCCTCAATATTTAACTGCTAGCAGTCAGGTTTTAAATAGCAGCTTGATTACTATAAACACATCTGCCTTTTTAATACTACTTAATCTTCGCAGCCACCGTTTGTGATGAAATCTGGTGTATTTATTGACTTGTATGTACTGCTGAAAGGCATTTTATGGAAGGGCTGTAATTAAATTCATCCCTGGTAATTGCAGAGCTCCCTGCAATGAGGACTGGAGCTGCTGTTGGTCTGTTGCTGCAGCAATGCTCTCCTGGCACTGGGGTGGACTGGGAGAGATGCTGTGGAAGTGAGTGGGATCCAAAGGAGAAGGCAGGCCCCTGATCGACCCAGGAGAAGATCATGCCATAATCTTCATGCCATAATCAGAGACCTTCATAACCAAGGTCAAGGCAACACGCCTTGTACAGCGACAGCGCTGTTCTAAAGCCAACTCCCAGCTACAGGACAGAGACCTCAGCACATCTTCTGAGCTCCAAAATCCCCAGTCAAGCAACCTGCAGGAGCCTCACATCCCCTGTATTCCCATTACAGACAGTTCTTCCCCTGAAACACACTGCAGGGTGTGCTTACTCAATCTCGAACAAGGAAGGATCGCTACCAGTTCACCTTTAAGCTCACTGCTTCACCTACCTGTCGTACCCAAGCTGATGCATTGGCCACAGGAAGACAGTGAGGATATAAAGAGA